TAACTGTATATAAAATTAATCGTTCTTTAACAATAATATATTTAATATAATTTTTATTAAAAATTCATATTGTTATCGGCAGCTTAAGGTTTCTACATAAGTTTTTCATTTATTTCGTTGGGACCTGCTTGCGTAGTCCCTTTGGGAGGTGTTGGACGGAGCTTGCTCATCGACTGATTCCGGGACGTAAACCCGTTCTTTTTTGAAGGTTTATTTCAACGTTGGAATAGTGGCCTCTAAACTTGTCACTGTTCCATGTTTTACTAACGTAATTTACTGATTTAGTAAAATATTGACGTAGTTAATTTATCGTTACTCTAATATCAAAATCTTTATTAAAACAAAAAAATGTTTACTAAAATAAAGTTAGAAATTAACATGACAGCCACGAAGGCTATCCAAACTCCTTGCAGTCTAACATAAGTATAGATTTAATGCATAATATGTTAAGCAACATTATGGCTAGATTTTACCGTTTATAACATATTAAACTAATTTTAATAGCTACAATAATTATCTATATAATTTGTCAAATGAGTTGTATTTAATATATATAGCAACTTAAATTTCACAATCTGTAGTTTAAAAATCTTAACTTATTTAAGTAAAACAAAATTCTTTTAACTTAGTCTTTTCTTTATAACATGCAGACATTTGTCCTTTTATTAAAACTTAAATATTATTTTATCAAACAGTATTAACGTATAATATATCATATATCTCTTTCAATATAAAATACACATATTCCAATAAAATTTTTATAAACTAATTTATTAAAACATAAGAGAGATATATATTGACAATTTTATATGTAAACATAGAATGTTGGCATGGTTTAAATTCTTTAAGACGCTTATATAAAAAGCAATATATTTTTGAGTTTAAATTTAATTTTAATATAAATTATAATATACATATATCTAATTGGCTCAGTAAATAACTGTTTGGTCAACCAGTTTATAAGCTTGTCCTGAAAAAGTTTTTGGCGGATAAACGACAAACAGGCACAATTGTAATATTGATAGCATACAACCAAGAAAATTGGGAATCTATAAAGAAATTTTGATTAATAACAAATAATTAAAGTATTTTATATAAATATAGTATTTTACATAATTATAGTATTTTATATAATTATAGTATAACAATAATATATACTTGTATAAATGAATCCGATATAATAACGCCATATATCAGCCACTGAAGGGAAACTAAAAATGACATCGATATTAGTGGAAAAGGCAAACTCTCTGAGTTTTTAACTCGTATCACGTGCATTAACATTGTTAGTGGAGCCGCAAAGAATCCCACAGTTACAATGCAACACACTATACCTAAAATATACAAACATATTTAATAGTTAAAGCAATTTTTTAATGAATCTCACAAACCCATTATTTTTACAGCCTTATCATTATCTGTTTCCTGATTTGTATATAATATAACAGCTAATAAAATGAGCAGTACTGCAGAGAATTGTTTTAGGTACGGTTTTTTATTGACGGTGAATATATAGTATAAAACCGCATACATAAAAAACAGCATAGCGCCAATTATGTTGACAAAAGCAATAGTCTGCTCATTAGTAAAGCAGCCATAGCGTAACCAGAGACTACAGCTAATTAAAAAAATATGTACATACATTTAAATTAAATTAAAAATTGTTAAAATTGTTATTCCAAGTGTTTTTTTTTTTTACAAGACTTACGATAAAAAGCCACATATGAACGGAAAGCCAGAAGAGTCGCCCGTGCTTTTCTTTTGCATATATTTGTGACATACTATGCTGTTTAATTAGTTAAAAAGTAATTATTAGATAAAAGCGTGCATACTTAAGATTACTCACGCTCCTGATAAGTATTGAAAAACCGTTGTAATTACCGCTGTCGTCTCTAACAGCGATACCAAGTTTGGAATTTGCATGTTTTTTTTTTAAATTAAAAAATTTTTTTTTTTTATTTTAATACAAATTACATGAAAAAATTTAATAAACATATAAGATAATTGTTAATTAGTTAAGCAAAATGCTATACATTTTATTTGTTAGTTCAAACTAAGCACTAAAACCGAAAACAAATATCAGCAGCCAACTCGACGACAGCTTTGACAACTTTCATTCTCGCAGAAACTTGAAATAAAAACAAAAATTCGGAGGAACACGTAAACAAATAACAGGGTTGCCGTGTGCTTAAATTTAAGTAAAAACAGTACGTAACGATTGAATCGTTAACGATTCAAATCGCTATTTCCATTTTTACCATTTAAATAAAATTATTGAAAAAATATTTATATTTTTTATCGTATTTTTTTTTTTATAAAAATAGAAATATCATTAATTAATTCAATTATTCTACAGCTGGTTTTGATTTCGTTCTAATATAAACACAGCAAGTAAAATTGTTAATAAAAATATTCATAGCAAAAGTAACAAAACTCCAAAAAAATATGCGAACATAAAAAGTCAAGTACGGCTTTGGATCAGTTGGTTAAGGTGCGCTGATTTTGAGCTTTAAATTTGGCAGGACATGAATTCGATTACTTACGAATAATTAAATACAAGAATTATTTCCAAGACCACTGATGATGGGTATTTGGCAATACTCGAAACAGCTGTATGGTCAGCCAAAAATTCAATTAATTAAAATAATATAAAATGAATTTTTGTTGTTGTAGTTTCACTACTGTTCGAAAAACCTCCTTAATTTATTTGCTGCTTGAAAAAAAATCATTTATAAGTAATCAATTACTGAGTTTATACGTGGAAGATAATTACGATTTTCAAGCAAAAGTTTTCAGCTTATAAAAAATTAATGTAATTATCTTATAATGATTTTCATTGGGAAATGTAGATTTTTGCAGGAAATCTATATTTTTGGTAATTTTATTTTTAATTTTTGAGTTGTTGAGTCAAAATTATTTTTAAATCTGTTTTATTTTTTTAAGAATATTATGTTTTATATCGATTTAATTTTTAGTATATTTCTGTACGTATTTCGGCAAATTTCGCTTTTGCCTTCAACAGGAGAATTCCTAATATTAGGAATACTAGAATATTACGATTGATAGGATTTATCTAACAATAACACACAGTAACGTATAAATTATAGTCATCTGACGCCGGCAATTAAATGATAATCAGATTATTGTTACTTTAAATTTTCTAATTTACATCGAAAACAAGCAAAAATATAGTGATTAATGATTATTTTAACACCTGCGTAACATGTCCTAGGATGCTTAAATTTCATGAATTTAAATCATTTTATATTCTAGTCGGAGACTAAAAGATCCACTCACAGAATAAAGTAGAGATTCTGAATAATACTAACTCAAACAAATCATCCATAATTCACATTATATTTTTTAGCAAATAAAGTTTATTGCATAAAGGTGTATGATAGGCCCATGACCTCAAAGTATACAGTGCTATGGCTATTTTTATATCTAAAGATATACAATCCCGAAATGTTATTGGTAAGGCATATTATTTTTTTTCATGAGTAAACTTTACGAACACTGTTATAAAAGGTTATTTTCAGCAAAAATTTATTTCATTGGCATAAGTTGATTTATGCATGTGAAAAAGCTTTTATGTGTCAAAATGTTCTGCAAAAGCTCTGGGAGAGCTTTTGTTTGTTTACATTTTAATTGTTAACAGAAAATATTTAGTTTTGTATTGTTAGCAGAGATTAATTAATTAATTAATTAATATTTATAAAAATCAAACATTTCAAAAAATATTTGTTTCTTATTTGTTAATATTTTGTTTCATGTGTTGAATGCGTCAACTTTTGATAATTTCCTTCTTGGGAAATATATTTTGCACTGTTACAAAACCACGAAAGCTCTTTGTATGGTTAATCAAATTTCATTAGCGGCCTAAATAAAATAAACTATTTTAACAACTGCAATGGGAACATACTTTAAATGGTGTCGTTTAATAATACTTATCTACTTAATCTAGTTTCCTTAATCAAGCAATGTAAATGTGCTAAAACTTTGTAAATAAATATAATTCATTCTTCGATATATATTCTTACATTCTTTAATTCACAACATTCACGGCATGCAATTATCATATAGTCACATATTGGCATTGATTTCCTAGTGGGTAAAACAAAGCAAGATTTTTTTGGAGAGCTTTACATGTGATTTCTATAGCAATTATGCGAGAGAGATTTAACAACTTCTCACTCTCATGCAAGACCGCTGAATAAGTGTAAAATCGTGTAAGGTAAGCTTTAAAATAACTTACAGTTTTTAATTGGTCTTTCGCTAAACGAGTCAGTTTTTTTAGATTCTTTCTTTCTTTGATTTTTTTTGATAATTCTTGATAATAAACAAAGAGAAAATAATGTATTTAATTATAAGAATAAATTAAAATACAAAACTATACAAAATTCAATGTATATAAATTGCTCCCGTGTATACTGGCTGCGAGCCTATATAAATGCAACCATGCGCTTTAAAATAAAGTAAACAAAAAAACAATAACAGCTGTTGCTCTTCGGAAGGGGAAAGCAAATTGAAGAGAAAAATATTTTGAAAATTGGAATTTATTCTCTTGCTTCTTGTTCATTTGGGTTTTGACTTTTGCCGTTGGATAATTGTTGTTGGTTGGTTGGTAAATAAATGTTATTTGCTTTTATGGAGGATAAATAAGGACTCCACGTGTTGTGTTCGGCTTTTTAGTAAACAAAAAATATGTATATATGTTTTTTCAATAAAAACATATGGAATTAAATTATTTTGTAAAAACTGTGCAAATGTGCTTAACAAGAAGTGATTGATGTGAACGTCGCGCTATAATGTATGCAAGATAATATATATATATATATGTATATAATTATTTTTTTTTTTTTACACATAAATGCGTTTATGTAAATTAATTAACGAAAAACTGTGATAATTGCACAATATTAATAAGAAATAAAATAAAAAAAAAAATATAATTTAAAATTAATTTCCTTTGTTCCAAAGTGATTTTAATTTGCTTTTAATATAAAAATAAACTTCCGCAAATAGTGTAAGAAATTTTTATTTTAAAATTATGGAAAATGAGAAAAATGCACTTTATGCACGAACCACAGTGGAAATATCAAATAACGTCAATGCTGATTTAATTAAAAAGCCACGCCAGACGGAACTCAACCAGGTGCGTCCAAAGTCAATTCTTTACACAATATCTTCACGCTTTACACGCTTGACACATAATACTTTCTAATTTCTTAAGAACACAATTACTTTCTTTACTCTGCTCTATTCTGAAAGCATAAATATTTAATATTTATTTATACTAACCCACATATTTTATTATTTATTTATTTGTTTATTAATTTCTTAAATTTATACACTAATTCAAATAATGTTTATACGCACCGTCATGCATTTTTTTTTGCTCCAATGAGTGAATTTAATGTCATTAACCTCAATTGTTTATAAATAACACACAAAAATACAAAATATTGATTTTTATTATCATAAGAAACTTCATAATTTAGCATTGTTTATTACAATTTGATATACTTTAAAAAAAACACGTAATAAATTTATTAGAAGTAAAGAGTTAGATATGGAAAATGGGTAGATTAGTTTGAAGTGACAGCCTTGTGCACCAAAGTACATGTGTGTTGAAATAATGACCCGTTATGATTATGTCCGCAACGTTAAAACTTTATGACCATCCTGATAAGCAGAGCCAGAAGCATCTTGTGCACTAACAGCAGCATTTTTCCCGACTTCATCATTAAAGTGAAAGAGAACCAATCTATAAGTAGACATCTCTGTCAGGTCAGAAAGAATAGGGGCCCTCAAAAGTTTTGAATCTCTTGATTGCGATCATTTAATTCCCTTTAATTCAAAAAGTCTATAAAGTAAGAAATGTCTTTGTCAGGTCAGAAAGAATAGGGGCCTTAAAAGTTTTGAATCTTCTCGATTGCGATCATTTTATTTCCTCATCCAAGTAAAAGCCAAGTAAACTTAAAAGTCTATAAAATAAGCCATGTCTTTGATTTTAAAAGAGGACATATTTGTCAGGTCAGAAAGAATAAGGGCCTTAAAAGTTTTGAATTTTAGTTTCAGTTTCCTCTTCCATGCGATTTCTTCGTTCAAGCAAAAGGGAACAAATATAATTATTCTATAAAGTTAGTTATGTTTCTAAATTAAAAAAATAACATTTCTTTGAGTTTAGAAAGCAAAAGGGCCCCAAAGATTATAAATCTTCTCTTAATCTATGATACGCACTGAAACGTGAAATAAAGTACAGTTTCCTCTTCTTCAACGCTATTCTTCCATTCAAATAGAAGGGAATCATTCTGACAAGCCTATAAAGTTAGCTATAAAGATGACATCTCTGTCAGTTCAAAAGGAAAAAGGGCACTAAAACTTTTGAATCTTATCCTAGTTAATGTTGAGTACTATAAGTGCTATGAGGTGGAATACAGTTTCTTTTTTTTTCGCGCGACTTCATCATTCAAGTAAAAGACAAACAATCTATAAGTCAAGTCTATAAAGTTGGCTCTGTATCTGATTTTAAAAAATGAGAGAACTATCGATTCAATTTAAAAAGAATTCCCAAAAAGTTTGAATCTTTCCGTAGTCAATGAAGTGAAGTACAATTTCCTACTCTGCTACGGAGCCACAGCCCCAATAAAAGTCGTAAGATGGTAGTTGAAGTTTGAAGTTGAAACAGCTGAGAAATTTGTTCAATTTGGACCAGGTGAATCTAATAATCTGACAAGAATCTTCATCTACATTGGCTTATAGGTTGGTGTTGAATATTGTAAAGAGTAGGTTAGACTAGGTTAGGCAACTGTTGTAGACCGTTCAATTGATCAATTCACTTGGACCCTGCGATCTATTGTAATGTAAGTATTGCTATTAACGGTTGATGAAAATTACTCTATGTTCCATTTAATATTTACATTTAAATATTACATTTAATATTCTTAGGCCGTCCTGTCCTCTCTCAAATTTAATTTAGTTGCTTTTTATGTTCTCAGAATTTTTGCTTGAAAGTTACTATAATGGTGAAAAACTCAATTAAAAATGTTCAAGAAGAAAAAAAATCTCGAAACACACTCTGGCATTTACTTGGTTTCGTATGTTGCAACAGTTGAAGTACAAAGAGCAAAATAATATTTATTTTCTTCTCTAGATTTTTAGATGTTTGTACTTTATATTAGTTATGTATGAAAAGTGGCAAACCTTGATTAGTTCTAAAAAAATTTTTAAGTAGATAAGAGTTGGATTGAACAAAATTATATGTTCTACGAGTAGTTATAATAATCATTCATATCATATTAATTTTCAACGCAATTAATGTTTTTAATATACTACTTAACTAACACTATATATGGTAGGTATATATGTGCTTTATATCATTCATACCCATTAGTAACGATTTAAACGTATCTTTATATATAAATATATCTCTTGATTGATAGACCATGTTTATAACATTATTTTAGGATGTTTCTGTTAACAAGTGGCACTCAAATGAAATATCTATTAAATATACAATCTTTATATATATCCTTTTTCCCTTTACTATACATATTCATAACGGTACATAGTATCTTATAAATTGCAATATTCTGCTCCAGAATATTGTTCCAGAATAGAGAGCTAAATCTATTCTATTCTAAATTATGTATTTGATATTCAGTGCAATATAGACAATAGAATGAAGAGGATGACGCTTAGATATAAATTTCATTAATATTAATTTATGTTAGTTCCTTATCCTGATGATGACTCTCAAGCAGAGTCGAAATATAGAATATATAAAAAAAATATTAAAGAAACGTTGAGTTTTAATTTTAACTAAAAGTGACCTATAACTGGATAAAAAAAATATATAAAAACCTGTATTAGATATATTTCCAATAATTCTTATAAGGTGGCAGTAATCTGATTCACTGAAAACTTAAGTTTCTATTCTATACTATGCATATATTCAAGACCTTCACTCTCAAATAGAATATTTCTTGCAAAGATTTAATTCGATATGATTCTATATGTTCTTTGAAATACAGTTCAATAATATTAAAATTTTTAATCATATGAGATAAGCTTCTTAAATTTTATATATCAACTGTCAAATAAATATTCTGCATACATCCTCATCTATTCTATATAATATAAATGCTACTATTTGCGTAAAGATTGTTGTAGCACAAAATAATGTATTTACATTGCGATACTGTGCTTAATCTTCTGTACTGGAAGTCTAAATCCATTCTGTATTCTAAACTATATATTCAAGACCTCAACTATTAAATAGTGTATTTCCTGAAAGATTTAAATTTAGATTCATATTTTCGTTTAAAAATTGTTGCAGCATAAAAAACCTATTAAGGTTGCCATATGTTTCTTACACTGCTTCACTGGGTGTCTAAATTGCTATTCTAAACAATATGTTTTAGTGTTCAACTATGAAATAGAATATTTTTTGCAAAAACTTGAATTTATAAACTTGTGCTCTCTTAGAGGTTGTTGCAGTAAAAAATTATTATTATTTATCTACTGTGATGGGAGTATTGCAAATTCCATAGGTTGCCATATTTTGCCTACACGCCTTGGGAGCCTAAATTTCTATTCTATTCTAAGCAATATGTTTTAGAGTTTAACTATCAAATAGAATATTTCTTGCAAAGATTTATATTTAAAAGTTTCTGTTGTATTAAAGATTGTTGCAGTAAAAAAAGAATTTATTTGTCTGCTGGCAATATTGCAAATTCCATTACTTTAAGCCTAAATTCCTATTCTATTCTAAACTATATGTTCGTGAACTTAACTATTAAATAGAGTTTCCTGCAAAGATTTAAATTTATATTCTTCTGCTACCTTAAAGGTGGTTGTAGTATAAAATAATCTAATTAGGTTGCCATATTCTGAATACATTCGTTCGTTAGGTAACTAAATTCCTATTGTATTCTAAACAATATATTCCAGAAAACAAATAGAGTATTTTTTGGAAAGATTAATATTTATTTGAAAATATATGTTTTGTAGGAGTCGTTACCTTTTTCGGTGTTGGCTGTATATTGATTTAAATCTATGTACGTACCAATGCTATTCCTATGGTACCGTAATAGGCCATCATTTGAGCTCAAGTAGACTCAAGTCCGCTATTCCAACCTCTAACCTACCTGTCATATAATACCTACAATGTATTATATGACTACACCTATCAGTTGAGAACGAGATAAATCTTAATACCAAGCTTAGATTAAGATATATATGACTACATCTATCAGTTGGGAATAAGATAAATGCTATTACCAAGCTTAGATAAAGATATATATAACTACATCTATCAGTTGAGAATGAGATAAATCTTAATGCCAAGCTTAGATATAGATATATATGACTACATCTTTCAGTTGAGAATGAGATAAATCTTAATACCAAGCTTAGATAAAGATATATATGACTACACCTATCAGTTGAGAATGAGATAAATCTTAATACCAAGCTTAGATAAAGACATATATGACTACATCTATCAGTTGAGAATGAAATAAATCTTAATACCAAGCTTAGATAAGGATATATATGACTACATCTATTAGTTGAGAATGAGATAAATCCTATTACCAAGCTGAGATAAAGATATATATGACTACATCTACCAGTTGAGAATGAGATAAATCTTATTACCAAGCTTAGATAAAGATATATATGATTACATCTACCAGTTGAGAATGAGATATATCTTATTACTAAGCTTAGATAAAGGCAAAAAATCATTATATAGACATCATTACAATAAATGATATAAAAGTCAATCCTTCGATATTCGTATAATCGCAGTTGTCTGTTACAAGCATATAAATTAGAATTACTACGTTGAAATAAGCTTATATTCATTTAAATATTTAAATATTTCTTTATGTCTACAGTAAAAATGTAAGTTTTTTTTTAATCTTAATTTATTTTTTTCTTTAAATAATTGCAAAGGAATTTATTTCGCAAATTATTAATAAAAGGAAAAATGCGATAATATTTTTTTCAATGCGAATTTTTAGTATATAATTTCGAAAAAAAAAAGATTTCATATCAGTGATTTATTATTATGACGCTATTATTGACCTCTTACTAAATTAAAAACACATTATTCATATTTTATAATTAAATCTAACTTCAGAAATGAACTTTGACTTCAACTAAACTTACAGATTTCTGCTACTTTTCATTTCCGTTTCAAAGCCAGACATATTTTAATTTTTTAGTAAAAAATTAGATTTATTTATAAATTTTTTCAGAAACCGCAATGGGGAAAACTTCTATCTCTGGTAGGTTATGCCACTACATTTGGTTCCGCCGTGCCGGTAGGCTATTGCATTGGCGTCATAAACAGTCCAGCGAATGTAAGATTTTATATATTTTTATATTAAATTTATTAACAAAAATATAATTTGTTTTAGTTGATAAAAGTTTGGTGTAATGAAACTCTGATTACTCGGTATGATGCTTATTTAAGTGAGTCCGGTATTGATATATTATGGTCTTCGATCGTTTCGATATTTTTAGTGGGTGGTGCCATTGGCTCGCTAGGTGGCGCTTGGGCTGCTAATAAATTCGGCAGGTGAGTACATACATATTTCGATTTGATAATATTGTAAATATAACGCATTTAAATGATTAGCGATTATTATCAGTGAAGTATTCTTATCATTGGCATTAGTGAAAGGTAATTGCAAGGTGAATTGAACGTTGTGTTTATAAAATTTATGTATAAAAATAATACATTTATACAAATAATACAAAATAATATTTACTTGGTATGCGTTACCTTGATTTATAAAGACATGTGAACTGGGCAATTGTGACGATATTTTACTGTTCTTTTTAGTATGCATATTAATCGCAAATTCAAGAATTAGGTACGTCAGCACTCTGTTTGGGTATTTCCTCCAAATTGTTATATTGGATTATACCAAAACGTTTTATTAGTATCATTGCCGAACCCAGATATCGAAATGCACATTCTCTTGTTGTTGTTGTAACCCATTGGGATCTGCTTGTGTAGTTCCTTTGGGAGGTGTTAAACGGCATTTGGTCTCGTTGGCAACGAGTGACTCTGGGACATAGACCCGGTCGTTTTTGGAACCTACACATTCTCTAAATTTTCGTTTGTTTCAAGCATATTATATTTCTCGGAATTTTTATCTATGGCTAATTTAATATTGTGGACGCTTTCTCTTACAAGACAATTTCCGTTAAAGTACCAGTCATCAATCTGCAGTGATCTCGACACTTACTCTTAAAGGATTAAATAGGCATATTTCGATACAAGTAAATACTAGATATTTTTCTATTAAGCTGTTCTTAATATTCTATTCTGATATAAAAAAACCCTATATTTGCATTTTACATACTCATAGGAATAATGGCGTTTTCAATTGGTAAATCTGGATTCAAACTAGATATACTCTCGATTTGTCAAATTTTGTTGCCCAATCGAACAATTTTGGAAAAATCTAATATTTTTATAGTACTGTTAGTAGACATTTACATGATCATAAATATATATATTGAATCGAATCACATTTGATTTGTCAAGTTATATAGAACAGCTGCTAATTTCAGGGTAATCTTGCTACTCTACAGCAAATCAAAATATCTAGTGTTATAAATTAAATTAATAAATAAATTAATAAATTAATAAAATTAATCTCGAGTGTTATATATTTTGCTCGAGTTTTACTAATCAAAATTGAAAAGTGCACTAAGAGTGAATCTCGATTGAAGTAGTTATCCCAGATTTGCCAAACGAAAACGACGTAAGTAGGTACCGACGCACTTACGTTAGTAGTACAAGTATAAAATGCTTATAAGAAGCACTCATGTGATTAATTATCGCATCAATATTTTAAGGTATTATGCTATGCCAAGTTTCCACACAGTTATATACGTATTCATGTTCGATGGTGATATTTCTGTCAAATGTATTTCTCTCCGCTACTAATTTACTATATCAATATTATATTAATAATGGTATATAACTTAAAAAAGAACAATTCAAGCACTAAGAAGAAACCAAAGCTTAGCCGAAACTCAATAACAATTTGTTATGGCCAAAATAAAAACTAAATTAAAAATTTTTTTTTAAAAATTTAAAATTTTTAAATTAAAATTAAATTTAAAATTTTAATAGATTAACAAATTAATATTGCAACGCCCTTGGTGCACTAATTTTCAACTATTAGATTATATTATTGTGTTTATGGTCTATTTATATTAACCATTTCTATTGGTAGATTATTGCTTTAAATAACAATTTTAAAAACCTTGTGATAAGTGTATGAAAATTTACTAAAAAGTTAGTTACTCCTTTACTATTCACTAAAAGTCTCTCCGTATTGTAAAATGTTATCTTGGTACAAAAGAATGCACTTTGCAGTTTTTATAACAATATTTATTAAACGATTAAAAATGTTTATAGTTTATTGGGTTACTTTAATTAACTTATTTTTGTTTAAATTATAAGTTAACATATAAAACTTAATAGTCCAATTTTATTTATTTAGAAAGCAGACAATAATAAAATTTATATAAATTTATTAAACATTTTATTCAAACAAAGGGATTTTATGAACCAAATAAATTATATGTTATATCAATTGTAAAAAACTTCTTTTAATTAAGAAAGATGTTTCTTAATAAAAAATTTCATTATGATACCTTACTTGTAATACATATGAGTTTTAGTTAATAAAATCTCTAAAAATATATGAGTCTATCCGCCATAGGGGGATTACTGTATATATAGTAATCTCCTACAACGCGCTACCCCTATAACATGTTTTCATATGACGCGATTTCAATCCCCCATATAACACGGGCATTCCCCTATATAAAGCGGGGACTTGTACAGTTTATATTAAGCTTCGTGTACCTTTGCATGTGTGTATAGGGGGTACACGAAAATACCCCTATAACGTCTTTTCCTATCACGCCCTCGCGTTATAGGGGGGATTACTGTACATTGTTACTTATATACTTGCACAATTAAAATAACCTTGAGTGTATACTCATGATTTCTCAAGATTTTCTATTTAAAGCAAAAGAGGTCAAATTATTACAAAATATCATAAAAATAAAATTACAGTCAAACTTCCATAACTCTAAGTACTATTTTGCAAAGAAAAGGTTCGATTAATGGAGACTTCGAGTTAAAGAATTTTTTTTGCAATTGTATGTAATTTGCTCTCTAAATCCTGTTGTACTCTATTTAGTTTGAGTTATAAAAAATTCGAGTTATAGAAGTTCGAGTTGTAGAAGTTTACCTGTATTTTTAAAAAAATTATCTGCCTGAAAGAGATGTTCATTTAACAGGGTTATCCATGTAGAGATCTCTGTATATATTTTTTATATCTATTCAAATTTTGCATAATACATATGTATGGTTTTAGAAATGATTTACAGTTTTAGATGTAATACTAGTTTTTATAAAAAAATCTGATAAAAAAAATGTCCGCCAGTGGTGTATTCAGATAGGAGAGGTTGGGGATACACACCCCTTGAAAATTTAATACAATAATTTATTAAACTGCGACAACTGTACTAAAAAATATATTTTCTAGTATATTCTCCTCCTTGGCACAGTCTTGGTAAAGCTACTGATATCTATAGCTAATATCTATATCTATTAAAATAATGACTGTTAGCGCAAAGAAACCACTTTAAACTACTACAACTACCAATTTCAACTTAGTTGAAATATAGAACGGTAAAAATTTGTAATGCTTTATTGACAAACGAAAAGTGAGAAGAGTTTGTTGTTGCAACATCATTTTGTTATTGTTGTAACCTTTTGGGATCTAAAAGTCAAAAAAGTGCAAGTTTTTACAAGACGAATACATGGGTTAGAATGGGATAGGTGATGCTTGAAGGTAGGTGGAAGGGTAATAAAAGAGAAGGGTGGATAGGAAAATTTTAAAAGAAATCACCCCGGGTCCAGACGAAGAAACCTAGGTTGGAACATAAGTATACTTGATTTTAGAGTCCTTATTGTGAGAGGTGAGTCGCATAAGTTCTTTATACACACTTGTGATTGTGAAAAGTAGACCCGTGAACCATTGCAATAACACTAAACTAAAATAATTGTTTGCATACAAATTTATACAACTACTATTCATTAAGCATTTGATTGTCTATTAGATCTGTTTTCGGTTAATTGGCTAATAAAAATATTTCCTACCAACTAGCAACTACCTACCAACAATTTTTTATACTTATACTTTTGTATATCATTCAAAGCTACATACAATTTTTTATTATCTCTGCTTGGTTGCTAAATCGCGTAGGTTCTTGAGTCCTTCAAATAAAGCTTAAAAAACGTTGATGAAATCGTAAGGAGTCAAATTATGGTGAACAATGGTATTGTTACTGTTCTTGGGCACAACCCACAAATAAGGAATATGTTATTGTTTTTTATTTTTAATAGAGAGGTTTCGAATAGTAGTGAATTGTAACAACAAAATTTTTTTTTTATTTCTTTATTAAGTGAATTTTTTATTTTTTTAGTTTCTAATTTTTAAAATAGTGACCAATCAAAAATACAAGGAAAAATACAATAACAAACAAAAACATTTGTTTATCATTTGAATTATTAAATGAAATTTTCTTTTACACAGAAAAGGCTGCTTTTTAATCAGTGGTCTACTCTTCACATTAGGTGCCTTGATGTTTTTCTTTTGCCGTTTGGCAACTTCCGTTGAAATGTTGCTATTGGGTCGTCTACTCGTAGGCTTAGCGTCAGGTCTAACCACAGCATCACTGCCAATGTATTTAACGGAAGTTGCACCACTTGCTTTGCGTGGCACATTTGGCGTCTTTTGTGCAGTTGGCGTGACAGGAGGTGTAGTGGTTGGTCAAGTTTTCAGTTTAAGTCAAGTGTTCGGAACTGGAGATCAATGGCACTATGCTTTGAGTTTTTACATAGTACTTGTAGTAATATGTTATGCTCCATCGTATATTTATCCAGAGAGTCCAAAATATTTATATATTGTGAAAAAAGAGCATGAGAAAGCACGTAGAGAATTGATACGTTTACGTGGCATTGAAGCCATGGACGCAATTAAGAACGAAATTGAAGAAATGGAAGTTGAAGCTAATAACAAAGTACAAAGTAGCGGCTTTTGCGCGGTTTTACGAGATCCTGCAATGTTATTACCATTAGTTATTGTATGTTGTTTTCATGGTGGTCAACAATTGAGCGGCATAAATGCAGTAAGTAATGAATCTAATATGTATGTACAGATACATTCGCATTAACTAATAAATTTTTTTTTTAGATATTTTATTATTCAGTATCAATTTTTGAAAAGGCTGGACTTACAACTCCTCAAGCCGAATGGGCTAATCTTGGCGCTGGTTGCCTTAATTTAGCTACCTCATTTCTTGGGCCTGTACTAATGGCCAAAGTAAATCGCCGTCCGTTAATGATGTTCTCCAGTGCGATATGCTCGGGCTTCCTTTTCGCCATTGCCTTCATTTTATACTATATCGTGAGTTCAACTATATACTTTGTAATTATTTTATAATATAATAATTTATTTTGGTTTATCTTTAGGAAACTGCCAATTGGTTTGCCATTGCTTGCATTGTCTGCATCATGGGCTACATATTTTTCTATCAATTCGGTCTTGGTCCTATACCATACTTTATCGGTGCAGGTATGTTGATATATCATAAATTTAAACTTAAAGCGTTTAAAAGCATGAAACATATTTACAATTTTACAATGTAATTCAATTAAGCTTCTGACATTCTATTGCTTTCAATCTCTGCACAAATTTGTTTAAAAATTCATTTCAATTAAGTTTGTTTTCATTTTTCACAACACAAATTCACGTGATGTTGTCTGGTAATAGGTCTTGTGTTATTCAATTTGTTTTGATTTGTAATAATTTTCATTTTTTATTTCATATTTCATCGTTAATTGATTTTATGGAGTCATTGCCCTTGCAAACGCTGCCGTTATCCGATACTTCAGCGTGCGCCAAATAAATTAAAGTCTGTTTGTTTACAACTATAAATTTGCGAATCTTGAGATATTTATATGTGTACATACATATATTCGCTTTATTATGCATTGGGGAACTATTTGTTTATTATTATTTTATAAACAAACAAACAGAAAATTAGCCTGTGCATTGCTGAAAACCACAGCTGTTATACATTAATGATTCTACTCATTAATTGCTTAGTGGTATATTTCATAGAAACGCATTTTACTCATACTAAGTATAAAGACTTTTATCAATATTTGTGCGTAATCTATAGCGTCACATTATTTGCATGAAAATGAACTATTTTTAAGTCACACACATAACTTCATTTAAATCGAAAACTAAATATAATACAAGACCGTGACTAACATAGGCATTTCATTTATTATAATTTTATTAAATTATTATGTGATAGAGATCCCTTGTTATCAAGATCTGCAAATGTGCTAAGTTTCTATACAAAAAATACAGAAGATAGTTTATAGTTCAAATCCCCTCTCTCTAAAATGTTTCGGACCATTTTACAGATGGTTAGGTTAGGTTAAGCTGACAGACAAAAAAGGCCACGCGTAGACCGTTAATAATCTTATTTCTAGCGATAGTGTGCAACATTAGGATGCGCGTGTTATTAGCGAATGGTATTAAGAGTTCAACAGCAACCTCAGGCATGTGCTTCAGTCTTGTAAAACTAACAGCCTTCAAGTATTTTTGTCACGTTCTTGAGAGAGCCGGGCAGTTACACAGCAGATGTAGTACACATTTTACTCATTTACACAGATTCAGTAATGTAATTGATTTTTCTCAATTAAACTTTCTCAAGTATTATTATGTTGAGCCTTTTTTCCGAGTTAGTCCATCTCGGTACTTTTGCTCTTTGATAGCTGAGGGGTTTCTGCAGAGTCCCACCCATCTCACTGATTAATTTGTGTATTCCTCATAAGCTTCGAGATTATTCAATGATTGATTAAAGATCTGCGTGCCGCGTGCGGTTAGTGATTAGTCTAAGATTAGATAGTGCTAAGTAGGGCAGCCTGTCTGTTTTCGCATATAGCTTCAGTGCTCTGTCCCTGCCTCAAGTGAACTTTAAATTAGTTTTCAAAAATTCCCCCATATGAAGAAGTTTCCATATATACTGTTATAGCTATCCAATTAAACCTATTAACTAATTCTGTTGTCATATAGTTCTTAAAGGGTTACCAACCATATCGAATTTTTAATGAAATACAAAAATGAGGTTTTTTGATTCTCATAGTAACAGTAATTTCATATTCTATTTAATAACTTTAAAAATACGCTGGATAATAACAAAGCAGACACGAAAGACATTTTTCGTCTTCCTCACAGCTTAGTCTTATCGCATTACCTGCAAGAAATAGCATTTATTGAAAGAAACAATTAGTATTCTGGAATGATTACCTAAACGACAGTGGCCCGCCAACAAATCCATTAATATATTAATATTTCTGCAAGGCAAATCAGTAAGATCCCTAAATTTTTTTTATTTAAAAAGGGACAACTTACTACAGATGCCCGCATGTCGTTGATTATTATCATCTTTTAAGTACTTACTTACTTCGTTGGCCATTACAGACGTGAGTCGTCATGGCCGCGTCGAGTAAGCACCGAGCGCTCCCAAATCGTTGGCCACCTGGTTCTTCTACCGAAGATGCGTACGTCTTCGGTACCCGCGTTTTCCACCTGCGGGTACCGAAGCAAATACCTTTTTATCCGGAGCACTTTCTTCCATTCGCACGACATGACGAAGCCAGCGAAGCCGCTGAGTTCTTATGCGCTTAACTATGTCAATGTCCAGGTATAGCTAATACAGCTCATTGTTCCATCTAATTCGATACTCGTCGCCAATGTATAATGCACCATATTTTAAGTAGAAGATTTAATTAGAAAATTTGAGAAATGTAGTTAATAGAGACGTGTAAAAACAGGTCCAAAAAAATTTCTTTGACCTTGTCCCAATGCCATTGTGAAAATATATCATGCCACATTTTTGGACAGCGTAAAAAGGGGAAGAAAAAAACAAAATTGAAATGATACCGGTTAATAATTATTTCTTAAAATTGTTTAATAACTTTTTCTATATCTACTATATCTGTGTACCCAAGAAATTATATATTTCTATATAAATTTTTTATATAAATATAAAAATATGACGTTGCTAATATAAAAAAGTGACCTAATGATAAATAGCTCCAGATTATGATTATTAAACACAGAAACTGTGGTATTTAATACAGTAGCTTCGAACAGTAGTGAACTACAACAACAAAAATTATTTTTTTATTATTTTTAATTAATCGAATTTTTGGCTGACCATACAGCTGTTTCGAGTATTGCCAAATACCCATCATCAGTGGTCTTGAAAATAATTCTTGTAATCATAATTAGTCATAAATAATTTTTTGAGACTGCAAATATTTTTCTACTAAAATAATTATATATACTTAGATTCGTACTTCATTAGGCTTACTAAATCTAGAGTGCTAACTGCATACATAATACGGAAGTGGTTTGGTTTAATTCTTGGATTTTCTAATAATTGGTTTGATTCGTAGTTAGGTGCAATTGAAAAAGTCGTTATTGTTTTTGTATGCTGTGTAGATCTGCTTGTAAAATCCTTTTGGGGATAGTGTACGGCATTTTGTCGTCGAAATTGACGAGAGCTTTCGGGACATAGATCCATCCGGTCGTTCTTGGAACCACGCTGAAAATGCGTGATTTATGCGGTTTAAGCTCGGTGCGAAACACTGTATAAAAGTCGACAGCTAATGTTTCTGACTTACTGATAGTGAGATTGATGGTTCTATGGAAGAAAGTGGTTCCACAATGAATTATGAAGAATATACATTACAATACTCCATAAATGTTTTATGACACTATATTTTTAATAAAATCTGAATTGTGAAATCAATATTTTCCTTAGATACTCGTGAAACGACAATGTCTCTGATTTACAAAGTGGAATTTATCTTGATTTCCTTACTTATCCTTTGTTTTCTTATAATAATAAATGGATAATGTCTGTTTCCTTTTTAAATTTTTTTCTTTTATTGTATAATTAATTTAAGTTCTGTATATATTATTAGATAGGATATATAAATAAATTTGTATATATTTTTATAAATCATATCCGTTTCCTATTAATTCAACACCATCTAGATATGTTTCATTAAAAAACAAATTTATTTATCATTTTGTTTATATTTCGTTTAATTATTTATTTATTTATTGGTGCATTGTGCTAAGCGGTTGTTGGTATATTTTGATATGCTTAAGAAAAGTTTCTTGTATGTTTTTTCGCTTTATATTTTTATATCTTTTTATTGAGACTAAAGCAATTATTTTTTTACAGAACTCTTTGAAGTAGCTCCACGCCCTGTGGCCATGTCGATGGGTAGTTTATCTTCGTGGTCTTGCAATTTCATAATAGGTATGACATTTCCAAGTCTACAAAAAGCTTGGGGTGCCTTTGTGTTTATACCATTTTCTGTAACTTGTGCATTACTTTTCCTACTAACGAAATTCTATTTACCCGAAACCCGTGGTCGCGATCCCTCGGAAGTCGCACCGCTCGTTTCAAAAGGTTTTCGGTCAAAAGTGAGATAAAGGCTATCGTAGTTATCTTTATTAAATAAGAAATTTCTATCACAAAATTAGGCACAAATTATACTATGTACATAGGATGTCCAATTATAGTTTCGAATTTATTAAAATTTAATTAACACATAATACGATAGGTTTTTTTTAAAAACTGTTCACATTTTGTTTTAGGTTGAGTAAAAGTAAAAAGTGTAATTATTTAGAAAATTTATTTAATTTTTTTTCAATGTTCGAAAGTACCAAAAATATTTTTTTAAGTATTGATTCTTTTATTTATTGGGATTAATTAATTTTGAAGCATAAAATAAAGCAACTGTAAAATTTTTTGCTTATACTATATTCAGACACACCTTAATTTGGCAAAAATCTTAATTTTATCTTCATTTCAGCGAAATTAAGTTGCCTTTTTCATACAAAATTCAGTTTTTAGGTAGGAATGAAATTAAGAGAAATGATCTTAATTTCGTTGAAAAGAAGGAAAAGATAAAGTTGAGATAACGAAAAAGTGACATTTTTTTTAAATAAATGTCAATGACAGTTGACTTTAATAAAACCGGAAAATATTTTGAAGTATTGCAAATTTTTAAATTTGAATTTAGAAAATGAACTATAACTGTTATTAATTAAATAGAGTGAAAAATAATAATTCACATATCTCAAATCCACTGAAGCTAATAAAACTACTGAATGTCATCTTTTATAGTTGTAGGTAATAATCAACTTTTAAAATTTCCCAGCATATACTTTTAAAATTCGATTTGTAAACAAAAAACTTATGATTTCCTTAATTTGGGGCAGTATGAACACTTTCGAAATTAACTTAATTTCATTTTTACGGAATTAAGGAAATTTGTCTGTCTGAACATAGTATTAGTTGCGTTAGGATAGGTTGGCTGGAATAGAGTAGCTTTAATAAACGATAGTACAGTAGATGTATTGTTGTTTAATTTTTTGCATGATACCTAGAATTTTTCTAAAATATTTTTTTCTAATAATAAAGTAAGAGTATTTATTTGTTGATATGTTAAAAATTTGAATAATCGTTAAATTTTTGCACAAACTCTTAACCTTTCTCCTTGATCATTTGTTCAATTTCCAAATATCTTAATGGTTATCACGTTCCATTTAATTTTGCAAAATTACACTTTTATAATTTTACAAGACTAGTCAAAACTGATTGTGATTATTATAGTTTTATTATGAGATTAACTACAAAAATAGTTTGAGTCACAATTTTTTTAATTATAATTGTTTTTTATATTTACATACGTCATGGTGTATTTGCTTTTTGTGTGTATTTCGATCAAATTTTCAAATATATATACATATACATGTTGTGTTTTTAGGAGTTTAAATTTAATTATACAAATTAATAATTTTTTAGTAAATAATTTTTAATATTTATTTAATGTAAAATTCTTGTAATTTTTAAACTGTTTGCTTTTTAGAATTAAAAGAAAAATTGTATTGCAAATAAATCAAAACACTGACTGTATCTAAAAAAAAAATGCATTTTTAATTGTATTAGAAATTTTTATATTTGCACTTCAAAATATCAAAAAGAATGACAAATTAATATTATTTATATGTGGGAAATTTTTCAAATATAGTGCTTTAGCGCTTTTTTATTCTTGAAATATTTTAAATGAATATATCCGTATCTCCGGTATAAAATACAGTCAAACTTCCATAACTCGAACTTCCATAACTCGAACTTCCATAACTCGAATGTCTCTATAACTCGAACAAAAATTTTGTTCCGTGCCGACAGGAATATGGGAAAGTGCATTCTATAAGTCGAATTTTTGTTTTAAGTATAAATGCATTTTGCTGTTAGGGGAAGACCCTTTTTCCAAACCAAATATTTAATTTTTTTCCTTCTTATGACGATATTATTGAGCACTATTGCTCTAAATTACTGGATCCATTCTAAGCGCAACGGAAAGTGATGATGAGGGTTCAGTGCATGTAATTGTTTATCAGCCTTCAAAGAATGAAGTATAAGACTCAAAAGTCTTTTATATTTGCAAGCGAATGATACTACAACTGATGATCACTATAAGGCTTGGAATCTTTTTTATTAAAAATAGAAAAAAAAATTAAAATCCCAAAACTTAATTTCTGAATGTTTCAATTCACTATAACTTCTGCGCTGTATTTGATTGCAAATAAATAAATATCTTAAAATGTAATTCTAGTTTCTTTCAAAAATAAAAAAATTCTCTAACTCGAAGTCTTCTTAAGTCGAACCTTTTCTTTGCAAAATTGGACTTCGAGTTATGGAAGTTTGATTGTATTGTATAATTTTTCATTTTGACTGCTGTTTGCTGTTTCTCAATAGATATGTTTAAATAAACGGATCTTTAAAACTAAAATATTCAAACTAAAATTTTTTAACAGATATTGTTGAGCTATTGACATATCTATACCGATATCGATACTTTTATTCTAAGACAATTCGCCGTATTATAAGTGACATTGTAACGACGCCAACACCTTAAAATTGGTATGGACATTATCGTTTCAGATAACCAGTGACAGCTGTCGGTAACAGATAATAATATCTGCTAAGTAAAATTTTCAATGACGTCGCTTTCAAGCGATTCAATTTTTCGGCACAGTTTTTCATGACGACCTAAATGATAGTTTTTTTTTATTTGATAAACTCAGATATATCTATATTAAGTAAATAGTTTTTATATATTTTTTATTCGACAATAGGTCACTTTTTGAAAAAATTAAAATTCAACGTTTGTTTAATAATTTTTAATATATTCTATATTTCGACTATCCTTGAGTGTCATCACTAGGTTCAGAACTGTAATGTTTTTGGTTCCATTGTTCATATTGCACGAGACAAAGATTTAAACAAAAGTTTAATTAAAAAAAAAGGTGACCTGTAGCCGAATATAACATATATAAAAAACATTATTAACAAAATCAGATTGAAAAACTAATTCAAACAGGTCGAGAAAAAATTCAAAATTTAATTAGGTAAAAATGTATTTAGGCTAATATGGTCTTCTTCAAAACTGCTAAAAGAAACGTATTATATGTATGTTTATTTTGCTTATTTTTCTCCTATGTTTTACTAGTATTTTTCAGCATTTTCAAGAATATACTCATAATACCATTGTAATAATGAAAATGGAGAAAAAATATAATATCCAGCAATTTCAAACCGTAGTTTCAGAGCTAGAGAAAAATCCAGACTTAGCAAAAGGATTTCGTAAAGACAAAATTCTTACTGATGTCAAGCCAACTTGGTAGAAAATGGGCGTAAAATTAAGTCTGGAAAAATCCAGACTTTGCAAAAGGATTTGGCAAAGACAAAATTCTCACAGATATCAAAACATCAGTGGTTCTAATGGACCACCAATTTGGAATAATAATAGTTGGTAGGAGGTAAAAAACAATATTCTTTGCAATGCTACTAATTTACCTAAATTTATTTCATTTTAGGTCCGGCAAGATTTATAAGTAAAAAGAAAATGATAGAAAATAGAATGAAGAGAATGAATTGCAATTGGAGGAGACAGGTTAAAAGCATTTGTAACTCTCTCCATTCGAAACCCTTATCATTGTAACTCTCTCCAACTATGACAATCCAATCCAACAGTTGAACCCCGAAAGCATAATGGTTGAACTTGAAACTGTGCTACAGGAACCAGAATGTACGGTGGGAGAAGAAATACGCGAAGTCGAAAATGTGTGGAGAATTTAAAACTCCTACCAAGCCACTTGCTAGAAAAGCAAAACAATCAACAAGAAATAGATTTAAATAAGATGTCGCAATGATGTCTGTTAAAAATACTTTAGAAGATTCTAGGCTTCAGGGAAAATTAGCAGGGATTCAAGAAAAATAATTAAAACTATTGGCAGAGTGAAACCAAAGAGAGTAGAAGAAGTTATTCCAAATTGAAATGAAATTTTATTTCTGGAATAAGAAATAATATGCACATAAAAGAAAAAGAACTGGAAGTCTTTTGTACAGATACTAAAATAAAGACTTTTGATATATTAATGATTATTATTATTTTATTTCATTTACAAATTTACATTTTATTACAATATGAATGATGAACTTGTTTTCAAGAAAACTGATTTTTATTAGCTTTACATTTTTATCAAATTGAATGTAAATATTGTGACCTGCTGGGGTAATCGGTAATTTTGTAATGAGGTTCAAGTCTCACACTGTGGCTTTTGATGCGTTCCACCTATTGTAAAAAAAGGAAGAAAATATTTGTAATGAAGCTGAGCAGTGAGTAAAGTGTAAGTAGATTTTTTAATACTCCCTCCAATAGTTCGTTTCATTATATTTCTCACTTTAACGTAATTATTATTAAAAATAGTCTTGGTGCTGCTCCTTTCAGGAGAAGAGTATTACATCATTATTTGTGGTTTAAAAGGATAATATGAATTAATTGCATACAAATTATATTTCATTATATGATTTTAAATATAATGTTTCGAAAAAGTATTTTGTTCGCCAGTATTTTACTATTTATCGCATATCATATGACTTATAATCCAAATTAATGAGTCACAAGCTGAACCCATATGTCGATTATCTAAAAATCATATACGGATTTTATAATCGTAATTCTATAAAAAACTAAATCAGAGCATTTAAGTTAAAAAACTCCTTTCTACAATCAGTAAATATATTAGGTTTCCTTCTCTGAAGCCAATATCTTAAGACTTACCCATCTACACATCCAATTATATTTGGAACTCTTATTTTCTTAAAATTAGAAAATAGGTTCGGTTCTTCATAACAACTTCGGAAACTTAAGGTTAAGCGTTTTAGTCAGAATTGTATGGATGGTTACTCGTATCAATCTGAGATAAAAGTCACTTCTAATACTTACCTGATACGATTATTGGCCAAATAATGCAATACTGTAATTAACTTGGTTGTAACGAACAACTAAAGAAGGTGAAAACTATGCTGCCAGCTGGGAAGGCCATGCGTAGTGTATTTTTGAGATGATAAGGGCATTGAAGAGAGTTGTACAGTAATTGGAACATACTATGCAACATATGTAAATGAATTAAGCAACATAATTATCAAAAAATATTCCTCTTTGTGAAGTAAAAATGTTTTTTTTCCCCCAAGACCATGTACCAGTTCACCATGTACCAGAATTTCAGAATCCCCCTTATGCAGAAGATCTGGCGTTCTGTGACTTCTTTCGGTTCAAAATTGAAAACTTTGATTTGAGAGTATGCTCTCTTTATTGTTATATACTGTCTGTACGACAAGTGTACATTTTACAAATTATTTTGAAGAATATGGCCCAAAATATTATTTAATCATTTCCACTGTACATGATTTTAAAATGATTCTATCTTATTCTAATTAAACAATTAAAATATTTACATAAAAATAAATAAAACTATTCAATATGGTTATTCTTTTAGGATAAACTATAAATGGAAGAGGTGATGAGGTGTGTGTCTGAGATAAGGTTTTGTTTAGTTAGGAGACAGATATTGGGAGTATAGGTATTCCAAGCTTGGTTATAAATACTCGCTTGGGCAGTACTAAGACTTCTGATTCTTTCGAAGTATAGAAACAAGATGGATAGATATCTATAGACAATAGATAACACATAGACATAAATTTTTTCTATTTTTGTATAGAAGATATTAGGGCTTTTCTTTTGTAAGCATATCGCAAAAGAACAACATAAAAGAAGTATTACTTTCGATGCGAACTCTAGAAGAAGTGGAAATTTTGTGAAACACGTGAATAATAATTCTCTGCAATTATGGGCAAGAATATTTTATATAGTTGTATAAAAATTAATAAATAATAAATTTTATTATAAAACTATTGATCACTCCATTTGGCAAGCACTATTGCAGAACCACATTAGAAAAGCATAAAATTGATTTTGACATTAAGTTAATTATAATTACTAAGATTTTAAGCTCGACTTATCTAAAAGGTGTATACTGATTGGCATTGTTAATGATATGAATGCAGTTGTGTGCTGTGAAATATGTAACACCCACATACTAGTGTTAGTTAACAAATTAAATAATGGCATATTATAAAAATTATAGTAACTTGGATAACCTGAGTTTCGGGATATAATTGACCTTAGAAAGGATTTGGAACAGTAAAGAACAATTCAATTATTATAAACTAGTAATACTTCAAACTGTTGGGATTAGATCACATGGTGACCGTTTGAATATACACTTTTGACGTATGCCTTATCAAAGGGTTTTTCAATGCCTAACATTTATTTTCAGCAGAAATAATTCATGTAACTTGTTAATATAGAGAACTGGATAGTTCGCATAAGGGATAAATTTTGGGTTTACCGCTTTAATTTATACGTCAAATGATGACTTTCTTCCAAGACCAGTGAAAATAACCAAAGTTAGGTACATGGACTTTAAATTGTAACACTTAAAATATCACCCAGTATGTCTTTAATTTTCTCCAACGTATATCTTAAATCACTGTAGGATTTCTATTTTGATTTTTTAAATGATATCAAGATTGTTATGCACGTGTGTATTTTAGCTATTTTTATTTTTGCGATAACATTTGCCATTTTTCAAGAATAAATAAAGAAATACTTAATCTGATTTTAAAATCAAGATCAATTGATATCGAATAAAAGGTATATATAAAATAAAATCTTTTGAATTATTACGATGATAACAAAATTGTTTTAATTGACATGACATTCGTCTACTGACCGAGTTTTTCGCGATAACAAAAGAATTTAAATTGTTTGTATTTCCGTTTATACGCACTCTAGATAGTAGGACTTTTATCTCTCTAAAATTTATCGGTGACGATCTAAATAAATGTAAGCTCTAAGTTCATGCGTTGCACTGATTAATTAAATGAACGCCAACCAATTTAACACAATTTATATTTATTCCGTTCTGGTCTAAAATTATTTCAAAAAAAATATTTCTTAATACAGATAACAATGTTCATACTTTATGACTAATATTAGTATATTTACTATTTATTTATATTATATTTTATTTACTTTATATATATTAATTGTTTACTTCAATTAAAGAAACTTGCCTAACAATAATGTATTATGAAAATTTATTTATCAGAGATATAGTATGCATGTGCTTGATGTGTTTTGTGGAAGAAAAAAAATATTTCAAAATTTCAAAAAATAATGCCATCCCGAAAATTTTTCTTTCCTAATAAAATTTAACACTTAATCTATATAAAATATAAAAAGTGAAAATTTTAGGGATACATATGGAATATTTTTTTTTTGGAAATTGAACGGTTAATCATAGTACTTAAATATAACTAACTTTAATTTTTTTAAACAATTTCTTGAAAGTTCATTCAATTATCTTTAAAATGCAACAAATTTCAAGTTTCTAGCATTTATGGAGCCTGAGATATGGCCGATTAAAAATGTGTCTACAATTTTAGTTGTCAAAACCCCATGGGTCGTATATCCTAGGAAAAAAATTTCAACATTTCTTTTCAAAATACGAGTATTCTTATTTTATAAATGGAGCTCATAAAAAAAATTTCAGTAAAATCAGAGATGATGAGGTCAAAAGGGTGCCCGATTTGTAAAAAAATGACCTATATACAGATTAAATAGTCTTCAAGAGCGGTATGGGGAATACACTAATATTGTATATATATATATATAGGCTAATAAGATCAAATTTGTTATAACCAGATTACGAATCGGAACTGAACCGCAAACTGAAAATAAATATCCATTGTTTTTGCCCGATCGAAAACCGAATTGCGTATTATTTTAAACGCATAAAAAATAATTTTCGAGATTTTGCCGGAGGGGAATAGGAACTAAACCGATATTTTTTTTTTATTTTTTTTAAATTTTTCAGAGCGAAGTTAGTTTCTAATTGTCATGCTTGAATAAATTTGTGACCTTTAAAACTTTAAGCATAAATAGTTATATTTGACTATTTGAATTTCTAATATTTTTACGATGCGTGTTTTGATTATAGTTCAAAAAATGTATAAAAAACAGTAAAATTAGATGCTGTAAAATATTTAATTCTAAATTATGTGAAAAAAGTTCTAGATTTAAAGATAAATTTTACAAACAATGGAAGTTTTACGGGAGATTGGTACTGCAGAAAATTGATGTTAAAATACATCATAAATATGCATTCAAAGATATTACAGCATGATAAGCTTTTACCTTAGTCTTGGTTATTTTACTATACACTAAATTAAAATTATAGAACAAACACTCTATGCTCCATATTTACTCTCAAGCATATATATGAATATGCCAAGCGTTTATATTAATATATATAATAATATACATATGTATATATAATATAAGAATATAAATATATTAACTGGTCAGTGTATTTTAAGAAACCATGCTAGGAGACTAAATATCCCTTTTAACCATACCTGCCCTTGTTGTGAAGAGGACGATAAAAGTGCCTCCCATCTGCTTTGCTTTTAGCGGATTTCTTTTTTAAGGGTCTTGACGAACCTCCCTCTAAATAGCATTATAAGCTTTGCCAAAGGTGCTAAATGGTTCTAACCCTTGAGTTTTTAATCATACAGTAATACAATGGGCCCAAGAGGATACCCTGGGATCGCCGCCATAACCTAACTCAACCTAGTGTAGTTAGCTGGCAGCGTGTTTTGTTTTAATGTAGCGATTTCAACTAAGTTGAGTACTGCATGCCTGCATGAATCGGTATGAAGGGGTTTATCTCCACTTTAAATTTTTGGAGTTGTATTTCATTGAAACATATAAATATCTAAACGTAAGTAAATCGACTTTGGGATGAGACCATTTTCAATAGCTTAAGTAAAAAACTTCTGTAGAAAATTTTTATTTTAATATCAATAAAAATAAAATTAATATATCTTCCAAAAAAATTCTTCCTATCTTTTTTTTTTTTCTTGTCGCTACCTTTTTATACTACAATTGATATAAAATGATATAATGTAATACAG